AGGGTAATGAAGGTAATGAAGCAATTCTGAAGACAAACGAGAAACATTTACAGGAGTCGATAAGTATTGTTTATTTGCAGCGCATGAAACGGCAGCGCTGCCTTGAGCATCTGCCAGTATTAAAACTGGCGCAGACCTGGCTATCAGAGGGAGCTGAGCGGCGGCGGTAGGTGGAAGTGGGGGGAAAGGGGTGGTTGGGACATTTAGGAGACGCAGGACATAGCTGGTGGATTTGGGCTGGGATGGCTCGGGGCAGGGGGGAATAGATGGGTTGATGAAAGGGCATGTAATGGTGGAGTGGGCAATGGATCGGCAGACCGTGCAAGATATGTTGCGGCAGCCTAAAAACACTCTATTATGGAGTTCGGTGTCCAAAGCCGCCCAGTAAGGACATTGGTTCCACTGGGCCACTCGGATGGCGCATTTAGCTGCAAATAATTTGTGGTAGGTGTAAAAGTGAGAGCCGCCGTATGATAACGTGAGTTTGCGTGATAGTCGATGAGCTTGCATCCCCTGTGAGGAAAAACAGTGCAGATGACTTCTATGTAACGGGTGAAAGCGATTGTGAATTCGGAAAATTATAAAATACGTGATGGGTTGTGAGCTGTGTTTTTTAGAGTGACAGAAAATCCGCCGCAGTCGATTTGGCGATCTGCGGACCAAGGTGAAATTGGTGACAAAAGGGAAAAAAGATCTACATCCGCACCTGCTACGATCTGTGTCCTGATGTTGCTGGCCACGGGGGGTGGTTTCCAAGGCGAGGGCGTTCGGAGGGGTGGGTAGAGGCGTGGCGGAAGAAAGAGAGAATGAAGAGCGAGCGAGGGGAGGTGGAAAGGTAGCCGCCGGAACCGCTTGCGGAGGCGCGCTCACGCTTGGGATGGTTCCGGGGTCGGAATAGGAAGGGGGAAAGAGAGGGGGAATGATGGGCATCGGGGCCTGCCTCATTAGCGGAGGCATGCTCGCGCTTGGGACAGCTCCGGGAATGGAAGAAAAAGGAGGAAAGAGAGGGGGAATGGGGGGCGTCTGGGCCTGCGCCATTAGCGGAGGCACACTTGCGCTAGAGACGGACGGTGGGGCTGCGGGCCATGGGAAGGGGGTAAGGAGAGGGGTGAGGCCAGGGCTGTGGGTAGGTCTGCGCTGCTAGCGGAGGCGTGCTCACGCTGACGCGGCGGCTTGTGAAGACTGAAGCCGGCATTTCACCGAGATGAGATGCGAGCTGACGCACGGTGGATGGAGGAGAGGGTCTGGGGCTTGTGGCATCCGGGACGCGGCCCAGGCTTGCCAAAGGCCTTTTGCTGCGGCCTAACGGCCGGAGACCCATCCTCGAGGGAGTGGTGGTTAGCTCGGGCCGTGAGTACGGAACATTGCGGCCCTGGCTCGCTTTATCCGCGGCCTTGGATGAAGGAGTGGAGCTTGGAGGCGCCCCTGTTTGGAGGGAAGTATAGAGGGCGAGGAGATCCGCCTTGACCGA